GTACGTACGTACGTACGTACGTACGTACGTACGACGTACGTACGTACGTACGTACGTAGACTACTAGTACGTAAGTAGTAGTAGAGAGAGAGAGAGAGAGAGAGAGAGAGAGAGAGAGAGAGAGAGAGAGAGGGTTTAGGGTTTGTGCCTGTACTTGTCCGCAACTTTGCCTTTCTCTTTGTAGGGCTTGACGAGCACACGAGCATCACAGACGTAATGCGGGTTGCCCTTTGCGAGGATCATCTTCACAGTCTCAGGGTAAACAAAGGTCACGAACCCAAACATGCGCTTCTGCTGGTATGGGATACGCACATCCTGTACAGGTCCATAAATGCTTCAAGAAAAAAAGACACACAAAGGGGGAGACCCTTGTCTCAGTCCGGTGGATCCTTTAGAGAGAGATTGATGGACTCTTCCTACAAAATAAATCTAAAGAAAAGAAAGTGCAAGAACCTGAAATAGTTGGAAACATCTTCTTCTCTGAAGGTGCTATCCGCAGGGAAGGTGAGGTAAATTTGCCTGGAACCGGGGCTCGCTAATCCTCCGCCACCAAACTCATTGTTGTTCCTCGGTGACCTTGTAAATAAATATTTGTTGCCATCGTCCGCCAGTGGAACTCTGGAGGCAGGCAGGCAGTGAGGACTCAGTATATACTGTTTTCTTTCCTCAAACACGAAAGGAAAAACAGGTCCCGCTTGTTGAAATTGGAGAGAAGAGAAAAAGGATAAACAATAAAACTCAGGAAAGAGCAGAAAAAGGAAAAAACATAAAAGCAGTAGGGACCTGTGAGCCTCGCTGCCCAGTACGTAATTGTCGAGGGATGATGGGGGGATCATGCATTTAGCAGTGGCTGCAAAAGGTAGAGAAGGAGAAAGTGGAGTAAGCTGCTGCTGGGAACTGGAGACGGACCTTTGACTCTTGGATCTGAGGAGGAGAGGAATGGCAGGGTGGCACTGTTGTTGTTGATTTGGGTGCTCGTGCTCCCCCTCATCGGAGGATACAAGAACCTCACAGGAGGAGGTGGGAGGGGAGATTCCTCCTCCCCGGCCGTGGCCGCCGTCGTGTAAAAACCTGCAGCTGCTTCCATTCTTGCAGTAACCCCTCGCAAAATATAGGCATGGCTTCCAGGCGAGGCCGGATGTAGAGCTAGCAAGAGCCACATCGGAAGAATTAGCAGCACCACCCCAGCAGATGTCGGCCACGGACAAGCTACGCCTGTGACCACCGAGGGGGCTGAGGCCCATAGCTCCCCAGTTGGTGTACGAGTAAAGCAGGCCGCTGTCGCAGGTGGTCATGCTATCTGCAGCGGCTGCTGCGGCATAAAGAGCAGGGTTGGCGTTGGCGTTGTCATTGAGGAAAGAGAGTTGGTCTTGAAGGTGAAGCTCATCCAACAACATGTCAACACCGCTACCACTACTGCGATACAAACTCAAAGGCACTCCTACACCACCACCGTTACCGCTGCTGCTTTCCGGATCCACCAGGCCGCCGCCGCCACCGCCACCGCCACCGCTGCTGACAGCGTAGGAGGGATTGGGGGCCAATATCTGTTGGTCCACCTTCTTTTGCACATCAGAACCAACCCCCTCATCCTCCCCCTCATCATTTGGGAAAGCATCCACCCAACTGGAAACCATAGAAGTACTGGTTGAGGTACTAGGAGGGAGGCATGCTTGCTGCTGCGGTGCCAAACCCAAATGAGAACAAGTATTGGGCAAATTTCCTACGCGCGAACCCGAGCCCAAGCCCAAGCCCAAGCCCAAGGCCAAGCCCAAGCCCAAACCCAGCTCCTTCCTTGCCTTGGCTACAATGGACTGGACCAGAGCCTCCGGACCAAAGGCCAGCCGAATCATTTCCTTCTCCCCATGGTCCTGAATCAACAATAGCCCCATGATTTTGGGGGCGTTTTCCGGATCCAAGTTCTGAATCCTGGAGAACACAATCCTAGTGGCTTCATAGGCATCCATCTTGTTCCTCTCCTCACAAGAGGGTGCTCACGAAATTGACCTTAAGGCAAAGGGGGTAGGGACTTGTAATTTCAGGTGCCTGGCCCCAAAATTTAATTCAATCTCTGGGCCTCGTCATAACGCTCAAGACACCGCGGCAAAGGGAAGAGAAGACTCCTTTTTCACTTATCAAAGAGGGGGAGAGCGCTGATCCATTAGGACTGAGAGAGGACCTTCATTCACTCACTGAAAATATTGTGGGTTGTGAGCTTGGTGCTCATTTCCAACTCCTCTCCTCCGGCAGCTGCTGCTGCAGGATCTACCGTAACCTGATGATGATGATGGGCTTTCATAGGTGGGGTAACACCTGCCGTGGCCTTCAACCAGAGACGACGAAGAAAGATCTTCACCCTCCATCACCCCCTGTACCTCCTTCCCATTCCCTCTCTCTCTCTCTCTCTCTCTCTCTCTCTCTCTCTCTCTCTAAATTCGTCGCCCAACAACCATCATTGGAGCCTCTTCGTGGTGCCAGTACATATATACACAGAGCGAGAGAGAAAGCGTTTTCTCGCATATCCCACGGAGATCTGTTTAGCCATGGATCTTTCTGTTGCTTCCTCTTCTTCCTGTCGTTTGCTGATGCCCTAATTAATAGAAAAATAAAGGGGGGTCGACATGTCTCACATTCAGCCTTGTTTACTCTCATGGTGAAAAAATGCCTGCTATTTGGATCTCATCTATCTCACACTATCTTTTGGGTTTAGACCAGTACTAGTATCTTTACTCTTTTTTTTTCTTTTTTGGACCATGCTGACCTTTCTACGATTCCATGCATATTATTACTCTTTTCTCTACCATGGCCTTTCACACCGAGGAGGCCGGTGAAATTCATCACGAGTACAATTTACCATTTGCAGGGCGGTTTTGTCATTTATTATTACCCTACCCTAGCCAAAGTTCATAAAAAAAAAATGGCTCTCCAAGCTATTCGATTCGAGTGAATGTGACTTTTTTGTATCAACACAATAGTACATAGTTTTGTAAGATATAATTTTATTTTAAAATAAAATTAATAATATAAATAAAATATTAAATAACTCATATCTCATGATTATTTTGATAAAGCTCATGTATAAAGGAGTCAAGTGGGAAAATTCAAAGAACATCGCTATTGAATATAGATGTTAAGTGGTGGTCCCTCTAAAAGGGATAAAGATCAATGATCTATAAAAAATTTTCAAAAAACTATCATCTTAAATTTTTACATATTCATGATAGAGATCATATGGTGTTGGGTTTTGAAAGGAGTATCCATAGCGCATAGAGAGATAGGAGAGAAAAGTCAGAAATGGACAGGAGCGGGAGAGAGTCACATGGCGGGTGAATACTGTGTCTCTCTGTATGTGTGCTGCCACTAGGGTGTCACTGTGGTCTTTAAAAAAGGACATAGTCAGTGCCGGTCCGTGCTTCTCGGTCTCCTCCGATTCCTCCACACCGTCCATTTGCTGTTAGGGACCACTACGACCCATCATACCTTAACTCAAGGGGTGCGCGTGTGCACAACTCTCAGATCGCACGTGGGGAAAAAGAGTACGATTAAGGACCAACCTTTTGTTTTTTAGAAAAAGTTTATACAGTGCGGGGCTCTAAACCAAAAAATTAGAGCCTACTTTAAAATTTCTGAGGTTGTTTTGATGCTCAAATTGCTCATCACAACATCAATATGTACGTATATGAGAAAAAAATGGATTTCAAGTTTGAAAATAGTATATTTTTTAATGAATTTTTGGGCCTTTAATTTTTAAGTTTTCATAGATCTATCGATCTACCCTTTTTTTTAAGCTTTAAATTTTTTAAATAAAGATGAAAATATAATTTAAGACTATCAAAAATATTTCTAATATTTAAACCACATTTTTCGACACTCTTTGAAGGTTGGTTCTAATTCGATTATTTAACGCTAGGCTCTATACAAACTGCACCATTTCTTTTCTTTTTTTTTCTTCATATTATTTTTTTATTCTTTCTATGATGATTAACAAATCAACAACAAACTGACCATGATAGACAAAGTATACATGTGCATATGTAATGTAATAGAAAGCATGTGGGCAAAGTTCAATCAGCAAGCCTTTGGACACTGATGACACCCATGGGAGGCATAATAAAGGCATTGTATTAAATTTAAAAATAATAAAAAAACGAGTAAATCTATAACATCTTGAAAATTTAAAAAATTAACAGTCCAAATATATAATACAAGATACATTATTTTTAAAACTTAAAATTTATTTTTTTTCTCATATCTCTAAGGTGTTTTTAATGAAATTTTAGAGCCTCACACTTACACAAATTTCTTTTTTTTTTTATAAGTAACAAGGTGAGTGTGTACTTTGTTAACTTTAATAAAAGAGGAGGAGGAGCACGCGATCCAAAGACATTTTTGCTTTAACCGAGTTTTGGCAGCAGCCTTTTGGCCTTGGCTCCCTCTCTCCCATGTATACATATAAATATAACTATTATTAGTATTGCTATTGTTGTTATTATTATTGGATAAAAAATTGTGGGATGTGGTGTGGTGTTTACTGCCCTTTCCCGTCTCATCACATGACGCACTTTTTACTCACGCACTCATTGCGTTTACTACTTATTACTGCTTTCTCTCTCTCTTTCTCTCAATTTGGTGATGCAGTTGCATCTCCTTTAATTGGCAGATTTAGATACTTGAGTCGTATTGTTTGCTAGGCAAAACCTGAAATGTGAGCCAGTGACTTGGTAGTCGTACATAAGGCCTTTTTAGTACGTGGAGAGTAGTGCACTCGTCTCTCTCTCTCTCTCTCTCTCTAAAGTCTAAGGATTAATATTTTTGCGTTTGGCCCGCGAAAGGCTGAAACGGTGCAGAAGGGCACATGGGCGTTTGAGTGGAGCTCATCATCAATGACACCATACTTTTGTCACTTGTGGAGACAGCGTCCTTTTCATGGTGGGAAAGAAATGGGGATCCCCGGGGCCCACCCCTCTCTCTCTTCGAGCTCAGCAAATTGCCTCTATGATTGCTCCCTCTTTTCACCCTCGACTTACCCACCCTTCCTTTTCTATCCAACGACGTATGCCCTTTTTCTTTTCTTTCCAATTTTACTGTCCAACCCACACCAATCAAGATTCCCCCGTCTCTCTCCTCTCACATCTCCCATGTGCACCCCTCTTTCTACTTTCAAAATCACATTTGCTCATAGTTTGGTTTTCTCCCGACTTTGCAATACATCCCCTTAAACATTCTTGTGATATACATTGTTATTAATATATATGAAGGCCGATTCTTAAGTGTCAAAAAAGCAGTGTTTAGGATTAAAGCAATGGTGTGTCGTGCGTTTTCTTTTTTTTTATCTGAAGTTGCTATTGTTCTTTTTTAAAAAAGAAAGGTTGTAAAAGGATCATCCATGTAACTTATTCTTAGTTTCTAATAAAATGGGTAGGGGGTCGCCATCCCCATTTATTCAAAAAAAAAAATTGCCATCGGGGTGAGTTAAATTGTCCCACGAGAGGATGAGATGACATGATACTGCCACATCACTGCTCCTAATGCCACTCTTAGTTGTAAAAAGAGAGAGAAGACACCGCATTGGTTCTAACACTAGTACAGGTATGGTTTCTCCCCTAAAAAACAAGAAAAAAAATTGTCTGAAATCTATGCTCTCTCCCCTCGCATGTGACGTTTGTCAGTAAGTGAAACTTTGTTTTAGCATCCCGATTCGCCTTTCAAATTTCAATTTGTGTGATTCCGCAGCACACACAATCATCATCCCATCTCGAATCTTATGAACCACTAACCCCTCTCGCCTTTTTACTTCCCTCCAACACCGCTGCACCGCTCCCGCTCCTTGCTCTGCATGAACATTTTATAAAAAAAAAGGAAAATGACTCGTAAGAGGCTATACACACCTTCAAATTTCATCACGAAAAAGTTGTTTTTATGCTTGTAAACCTTCTAATTGAACATTACCACGTCGAGATATTTTGATACAAACCATAAAATAAAAGATTTAAGTCTTAAAAACAGTGCAACTTATGACGCATATTTAGACCGTCCATTATCAAGATTTTCAGGTGTTCATAACTCTGTTCAATCTGTACTATTTGTAGAGCTTTAGGTTTGCTTATTGTTGACAGTTATATAGAAACCCAATATTTATTAGGGACAACCAACAAATTTTTTAAGACCGTCATAAAAGTTTTCAACACCAAATTTGTATCTTCTTGACAGGTTTGGAGGTGTATGTTACTTTTATTGTCGCATATTTGAACTGTCCATCATCAATATTTTCAAATGTTTATAGATTTGAAGTTTTAGATTTCATAATTTGGGATGACAACAATTTTTTTCAGACCATCATAAAAGTTCCAACACCATATTTGCATCTTCTGGACAAGTTTGGTGGTATGCCTTACTTTGATTGCTTAAGTTGGATTTTGGATTCAAACTTTACATGTCGAACGACCATCAAATTTGAAAAACAAAACTTCTAAATCATAAAAAAAGGTTTAACTTGTAACTTGTTTTTTGATAATTCATTCAATTCTTCAAAGATCATTAAATCTACATTGTTCGAAGCTCCAAAATCATGGTCCGTTTCAGTCTCATCTCTCGTATCAAGGATCCAGGCGCTGAAGGGGTCGAGAACTGCAATACTGCCGGAGGAATAATGTATTAAAACTTCACACATGGCCTTGGCGAACATGATTAAGCCATTTCCTTTGAGCTTTGCTTTTTAATTTGATGGCCAGATCATCACCCTGCCTCCCTCCTTGCTAGCAAGAAAATTTCCGCCCAATGATTTCTACATGTTAACTAGGTTTATGAGTTTAGACCAGGCCTGTCCCATAAAATTCTACCCAACCATTATTAGTTGTTAGTTTATGGTTTTTTACTCTTTTAAGTTAGTAGTTAAAGTTTAAATTTAAAGGGATGTGACATTATTTTATAGGAAAAAGTTTATACAAGCTACCATATTATACTACACAAACAAAGTGCACCTAAAAAATCCAATAGAAAATATTGTTCTTAAGTTGGAAAACTTTTCAATTGATCATCTCGACCTTGGAGGTAAAAAAATAAAAAATTCAATTCTTAAAAATAGTGCATCTTGTGACAAGTTATTTGGATTATCTATTTTTAAGATTTTAAAGTGTTTATAGATCTACTCGATATGTACCACTTTTAGAATTGTAAATTTTATAACTTTGGTTGAATATAGATTTTCAAGCCATGTGAAGGTTTTGGACACTAAAACTACATCTTTCAACAAAATTTAAATATGTGCTCTTTGAGCAATGATCTAATGCAGCAATGATATTCTAGAAAACCATGTTTGTCATATTTGTATGACCCCAAATTTTGCACACACACTCTCTTCATCTCGATAATCAATCCCAAAAAAAAAAAATCAATTTGAACCTTATATATGGTCAAAATGAGTCCCCTATAAAAACGAATCTAAACCATTCATTTTGTGAATTTCAAGATCTTAGGCTTTATAAACTCAAAATCATTTTTTTCTTTTTTAACATTGTTCATCTAATGATAATAAAGCCATCCAAAAAAATTGGAAATAAAAAAACCTTTCTACGGCCTAGATCTAAGTATCTCACCAAAATGAACAGCCTATGTTAATTAAGCTAAAAAATACTTTCTAGGTTGTGTTTTCAAATTTACTTTTTTTGTGATTGCTCATTAGAATGAAAATAATATATATTTCAAATTTTGGATCAAAAAAATGGCCATAACATGGTTTTTTAATGTTGTTGTATCATATTACTATACAAGGGTGACATGAAATCATTGCACGTGCTGTTTTTGTATAACATGAGATGAGCACCTTATACAAACGTCCCCATTTTTTATATGAAGATTGATGGGGAAGCTCACACATTGTCGGCGTTTAACAGCAGAAATGCAAATTGGGAGTGGAGGGAGGAAGAAATTGATTGATTGATGCAATAAATTTTTTTGCGTTACCAATATCAAAATACCAAAAAAAAAATGGATGCTGTTTGTATAAAGCCAAGGCTTTAAACAATCAAAGTAAAGCACACTTTCAAATAGTATTAAGAAATATGGTTTCAATACCGGAAATCTTTATGATAGCCTTAAAATATATTTTCATCTCTAATTATAAAATTTAAATATTCAAAAATAGCATTGATCGAGCAAATCTATGAAAACTTGAAAATCTTGAAAATTGATGGTCCAAAAATACATTAGAAGTTGCAATATTTCAAAAAATTGAAATCCATTTTTTCTTATGTCCATGCATCTTGAGGTCGAGATGATGAATTTGAGGATATTTGAGCATCAAAACAACCTCTTCTAGTAAAATTTTTAAGGTGCACCTAATTTGACTGTTTAGAGCTTCACACTTATATAAAGTTTTTTCAAAACAAAAAAGACAAAAACCTATGCCGAAGATTATCGGTCAAAGAGTCGGATGCAAGATTTACAAAGTTCAGATGCCTACGCCACATATTTGTCCATACATAATCATCTCAACTTCAATCCTAATCCCATCACAATGGACTCAAATGGTCCACCCACGTTTTTCTTTGTATATATATATATATATATATATATATCGTAAAGTCATTCAATCATTTCAGGTTTTTGGTCGAAATGTTGGGTGTCCTGTAATTTTTGTGTTGCCCATAATGGACCCGAAAGTCTTTATGTATTCTTTCTCAGCATGCTTTGCAACGAAAGGGACATCCATAGGTTTTTGCCTAGAGGAAATTACATCCCGCCCTCCTAATTTCCAGATTCCTCCCAGCTTTTTCTGCCCTATCATACAAACCCCAACTCTCTTCATATATCTCAAGAAAACTCCTTTACGTACCATCAAATCTTCTCACCAAATCGATATTATTTCTGTTTCCAATAAAATTCTCTCCCCCTCAAGAAAACCACCAGCTTTGCCCGAAACTGCAGCGCCACGCCATGCCCCAAACATGTCGCTATGCTTTTGCTAGCAAAGCCTTGTACACTATGCACTTAGACCCATTTTTCTCATCATCTGGACCCAAAAGGCTCTAAATAAGCTTAGAGCCTTCATGAGAGATCCAATGAGTTTCTAGACTAGTCTTAAAGGGCTAGAGTGTGTAGAGGGCTCTAGAACATTATAAAGGCCATAGGGTTCCTAGTCATTGGATGTATAACATGTGGCTTGATTCTAACCGTCGGTTGTAAAACCTTGAGCCTATATAAAGGGAATGAACCCTCATTTGTACCTCAACCTGAGGAAGGTTGAAGAGTACTCTTGTAAGGATTCTTTGGTTATAGTGAATTGATAAGGCTCTTTGAGCCAACTTGTGTGTCCTTCTTTTGTGGTGTGTTTGGCTTCTATTGTTGTGTTTGTGGTGCATACTAAGTAGTGGTGCTAGCGTGAGTGGTGCGCACTAGGCCCAATTGCCTATCAGTTGTGATTGGCACGTGGTTGTGCTCATTTGGGACGACTGACTCGTCCTTAACGGACCAAAAAACAAGTGCCTCACGGTCGAAGCGTTGGGTTTCAAACTAGGGCTGTGACAGCGAGTTGAGAATGCGGAAGAGGAGTTGAGAATGAGGAAGAGAAACGAAGAGAGAATGTCAAGAGATAGCAAGTAGAGAAATGGTAGTGAGCCATATTTGTTCATAAAGATCAAAATTCCTGCAATTCAATTTAAATGTGTGATGAGATCAAATCCCCTACAATTATTTTATCAAAGTTAAAAACTGAAATAGGCGGATCTATCAAAAACAAGAAGCCACTTTCGAAATATAAAACGAAAAAACCTTGACATTTCAGAAAATGCAAATGTAAAGCACAGGTGCTTCACACATTTTATGCCATTCAACAAATGATGAAAATATCCATGCAATATTCGTGTGCGCACCTAATTTGGTCATTTATTTGGGATCCACTTCTCATAAACACTAGTTTTTCTCCTTTCATTGGCAATGTCACCAGATTTCTGTCTGTTCCAATCGCCTGTTTTGTGGCAGAGGTGTCTTAGTTGCCTTGTCTTCGGGTCTTGGCAAAGCTTTGGCGGCCGTTAGAGCAACGCCAAATCCTTCCCTTCTGCAAAATCCTTTAAGTCGGGTGATTTTGAGTCTATCTGCTTCATTCCGCCTTTCGAGGCGTTTAATCCAACTGGGGCAATATCGGTTTTGTGGAGCCAGATTTACATAAGGGTTTAGGTGGGGTGAATGGTTCAAAATATCTGAGTGGTCTGCCTGGGACATTTCAACTTATCCGCAACTTCTCCAGTCGAGATCGGGGTGTCTACATATAGCCGATATTTATTCTCCATGGTTCAATGTAATAATTTGCATATTGAAAAGCACCAAAATATTTGATATAGCCAAACCATATACCATCGACAACGCTTTTGGTTTCACGCATTCATTGCCTTTACATTCGATTTCATTTCCACCCAACCAAAATAAGGTTGGCATCCAATATTTGGACAGTACTCAACTAGGATAAGGAAAGAATGTTCTACGTTCTGAATTACAAATAGAAGTTCAAAGCCATCATGAAGAACAGGCTATCATACTCAACAACGTAGATACTTCTGCACTGACTCATGGGATGAAAACTAGGTCAAATGGCTTCTACAACAACTATATGCATTGGCGGATTCCTTGGTGAAGTGCTTCACTGATATCCACGATAACGACCAAAAAACAGAGTCCTATGGTATCAAGGAGACATATAATCAACAAGACTTTCTTATGTTCAACTGTAGATGCATTCTAGGATCTATCGGTCACCTAATGCTTCTAAGGTTAGTGACTTAGTGGTTACTGGTAGAATCATTTTGATATATAAAATGCGACAAAGCACATCTGCTATAGGCATGACATGAGATCGAGCACTAGCAACCAGATAACACTAGCAATTCCAGGAGTGATTATCACTAATGGTCACTCTTTCCAACTGGAAGCAATTCAGGAACTTTTAGCTGGCAGTTATTCAGATAATGAACCCATGTACCCGAAAATATTGGCTGATGAAAATAGATAGCTGGATCTGACCTGGCAGAGGCATGGATGGACCAACCTAGAAGCCGCATTTCTTATTCATTACCTCCATGAGCACTCGCAATGTTGTGTCGTGACTCTGGCCTCCATTTCGTCAGCACCGCGTAAGTTGAGTGTTACATAGCTTCAAAAGGTAAATGACTTCACGCAGCAACTGTTTGCAGATAATTGACTTGCGCTCCTTCTGCATCCACTCTAATCTCTCTAAACTTGTTGTGAAAAGCTCTCGACGATCAGGACATGGATGCAGTCCTACAAGTCATACATTGAATGCAGTGGCATCAATGGGTCGGAAACTGTGCCGGCTGACAATTGCGCAGAGCTTCAATCACAATGGCAACATTGTCGAACACCAGTAGTTAATTCATGAGAATATTGGCCAAGATAATCATGCACCCCGATGAAGAAAGTTTCTTGAAACAATGAGAGCATAACATCTTAAGAAATCGGACATCTAACAAAATAAAACCAGTGCCTAATTGCAATTGTAGCTTATGAGGCAATTTGCACCAGAGATGGATTTAATAGGCACGCACACAAAGCATACACAAGTGACAAATGGTGGTGTTTTTTCTTTTGCTTATCATCATCTTACCAGGCAAGCTAACAGTATGATTTTCTGTTAGGAAGTACTTATCTCCTGATGAAGAAATGGAAATCTCACCTTGTCAGTTTCTGGCAATTCCATTTTTACTTCTGGTCTCAACCGGACAAAATCCTAACCATTAATCCTACTACCCAGGAATTGAACAAACAATCATCCCACTATAAGAAACATGCACATGGTATGTTATCTTTTTTCTTTTTGGAAAACTAACAGTATTGTTATTTGTTTAAAATGGGAACCATGACAAATGAGCTACTGAGATGATATCTCACCATCCACGGACATCCCTTCACAAGTACAAAAATGCCCAGGGTCACAACAGCAACCCAACCACTTAAGAGAAATCTTTCAGAGTGCCTATGCAACATTCCCTTCACTCTCCTTGCAAAGATCCAAAATTTCATGAGGAGAATTCCTTGGCAATGGATAGCCTCATTGACTTCTCTTCTATTGCAGAGTGAGACTCCACTCATACAGCATATTCTTTATCCACAGTTGGTGCCTGATGGTTTCTTGCTCATAGCTATAGAATTATTACTTTAGCAAGCCACTGTATATTTGTGGTTGAGACTGCTTTCTTCTACTTAAATCACCACACCGCTTCAATAATTTATCAAGATTCAATAGTTTCTTGAAACAATGAGAGCATAACATCTTAAGAAATCGGACATCTAACAAAATAAAACCAGTGCCTAATTACAATTGTAGCTTATGTAAGCTATCTGAAACAAAACCATATTTAGGCTTTGTTTCAGATAGCTTACAGCTTATGGGCCTACTAGCTCATGCACAGATCTCTATTGCCTCTTCTATGCACCACACAGTTGATTGTAAAAGGACTCCTGATCCCTTTTTACAATGCAAGATGCCAGTTATTAGCAGCATTTTGCATTACAGCAGGAATGGGGTTGTGTGCACCAAACCACAAAGTTTTGACGACCAACACCATTACACCGCATGATGGGTCCTGGAAGCTTTCCCAAATGCAGCCTTAGAATTTCAATGACTATCCCCAATGCGAATTTTGACTAGCACAGTTACCCTAAAACAAGTATCCTGGGGGAACTCGGATTTTCTAGACTGCAAATTACCATGGAACACTGAATCCCCTACCATATAATCCCAAAATGACCAAAATGATCCCATACTGCCATTGCCAAATTCTCTTTCCGAGCCCCACCAATGGTAGAAAGGCTTCTTCAAATCCAAGCCAACTATCTTCTCCCCAAATTTACAAGGGCTAAAGACATTCAGCACTCCAAAAGCAACAAATCCAAACTTCCTTGTAAAAAATCCGTATTCTGTGAGCACAGGTCAAATAATTCATCCTATTGCAACCCATCATGAAAGCCAATAGCAGCTGGTCACCATAAAGAATGCACGAGATGATGCACAAAGTGGCATATGGGAAACATTGAAATTCTTGAGGGATAAGGTACTTCCAAGTGGAAGTGGTTCAGACTTGTGAGCCTGAAAAAAGCATTTAACAAGGGTCCGGAAGAGGAACTCCAGGAGTATTTTGGAAATCTCAACCCAATTGAAAAATGCTTATTAATTCAATCTTTTTAAGAGGATAATTCTGGTGTTGGCATATGTAAATCATCACAATATATTTCAAATATACAAAGGGAAAAACCTTCCGCCAAGGACGTCATCAGTACAAGAGAAATGGTGACCTTAAGTTGGCGCACACCATGAATAAAAAGGGATGACGCATATGGATATCTCAACTCAGAATGAGGAACCAATTGCCCTGGATATTACATATTACTATCGAAAACTTTTATGACAACTATTTTATGCAGCATGTTATCTTTTGACGAGTTAAGACTTAATAGAGTTATTTCCCTTAAAAAATAAAAAAAAACTAATAGAATTATGTTAACAAGAAGTCAAGGTGAGAGTTCTATATTTCAGACATGATCCCAGCAGCCTAAATGCATCAAGATGATATTATAAGCACTTCAGCTTGGATAAAGAGATGGAATGCATACAGATCAAAATAATCACTTGTGACATAACCAACTCAACAAATAAACCAGGAAGTGCACCAAAGAGTAAAGCACCCAATCATCTACGTGTTAACCTGAAATATCCTATTATCAGTCTCAAAGAGTTAACAACAATGTTCGTGACCCGGTCAAGTCCAAGTGACAAGGTGAGTTGGGTGCGAGTTGGGCACCCAACTTGCCCCCCAACCAAAAGCTCCATAAAAATAAAAAATAAAAAAAAGTTAAAAAATATAAAAAGATAGATGTGCCCAATACATTGCTTAGAAATGAGTTTTTAGATGATTTTGATAGTTTTGAGGATGATTTGGGATCATTTATATCTTTTCCCTTTTATAAAACTTTCTGAAATATGCAAGGTATAAATCAAAATTTTCAATAGCTCATATTTTATAGATTCTTTTGTCTTCTTTAGCCTTCTAATGATTTCTATTGAATTTAAATACTTTTTCTGATTTCTATTGACTGTAAATATTTTTTCTGATTTTTTATGTTTTTTAGAAAAGTTATCTATTTCTCTTTTTGATCTTCATACATTTTAAATTGGTGTCCATAACTTGGCCAAGTCCAAGTCTTGGTCAAGTTACTCGCCTCGGCCAGGGGTCAAGTACCTTAGCCAAGGCAATTTCCTAAACGTTGGTTAACAATAATGTCCAGTTCCATGCCAGTATGTATTTCTAAATGTAATGAATCAATAAACTAAAACCATGTTCAAATTGGAAATATCACCAGTGCAGAACCCAACTTAGGCCATGGTTTAAGGTAATTTTTTATATACAACGACCCTGGGTGGCTGAGTGTCCACCTTGGAAGATAGGCATGCTGATAAGAACCCAAAATTTACAGAGTTGGCTTATTGCTTACAAAAAAAAAAAAAGATTTAAAGAGGTAGCTTACTTTTACATAGAACAACTTCCCTTAGTCACTAGTAAGATGCATAGCGGTATGAACTTTGAAACCATGAAGATTCCTCATGTTTGTCCAGTTGATAGATGTGTTGGTCATAGCCAGACCTTTCAGGGGCTGGGTATTCATAATTGGGATTTGACGATCCAAAGATGGAATCCATTAACTCCTCAGCCCCTTTCCATGAACTTGCATGGCCTCCCTGTTCAGTTTCTTGTTGATTGTTGCGAACTCTTCCATTATAATAGCTCTGAGAAGGGGGAAGGGAGTCCCTCAAATTGAAAGGGTCTGCAAAGAGGCTTGGCTCATCCCACCAATAATCAGATGCCGGAGAAGTTCTGAAACCGTGGTCAGTGCTTCCATAACCATATCCATACCCATATTCTTCCGGCCATGGCCACCCATAGCCATGGTAGACTGGCTGCTCCTCACCATCACCATGAGACGGGTTCACCAGTGGCCCGCTCAATTCCAGCACGTCATCTTCTATTCCATTTCCATGTGAGTCGCCGGGGTCATGGTGGGACTCGCTGTCTTCATCACGGGTTGGCCTTTCCTCTTTTTCTTCTTGAGTAATAGTAGTAGTTGCTGCTGGTTGGGAGTCCCCATAAGGGGAAGGAAGGCTTCCATAGTCGAAATTCTCAAAGGATGACGATGAATATTTGGAAGGAGAATAGCAGGTTTGTTTGGATGCGGGGAGGGGCTTCCCGAAAGTAAGATCTGGATCATAACCCCCATCATAAGGAGTCGGATCGTATTCGTAAAATAGATCATCTCTACCACCACCGCTGGTGGAGTAAGCCAACGTCAAGAATCGCACAGTCCCTCGGAATTTCTTCCTGCACCTTGCCTTGAACCCCATCTCTTCTTCTGTTAAAGCGAAAGGCGAGCCTCCGAGTCTGCTGCTATATACTAGGATTTATGGGATTCTTTCTATAACCCAAGAGATGCATCCCACATACAATTCAGAAAGGCTCCATACATGTATCATGTATGTATGCTTAGAAGGGATAAGAGGGTTGGAGGTTACCAGCCTCACAAGTTATACAACCAAAGTAGCCATGTGGGGTGGGTGGTGTATACAATCAATCTCTATCAGAGAGTGCGCCAGCACATGACAAGTAGGATGGGACCCACTCACTCCCACAGAGGGAATTGCCATGTTTGTCTCTCTTTCCTGCTTAAGTATGTGTCTGTGTGCGAGTAAGTTTACCAATAACCTCTGGGATGCCCTCAAGTCAACATTAAAAAAAGCAAAACAGCTATCTCAATAATTTTTACAGAGGGAAATTGGAGAATGGCCTCTTCGCCACGCTTCCAATGCTCACCTTCTCGGCTGAGGGCATCCGCTTTCTCTTCAACCTCCAAACAGACCACACGCAGCATCCCTGCAACTTGTGGTGTATTTCATGTAAACCTCACCTACAGGGTGTGAACACCATGCAATTGTAGTGTCCGAACTGCTTATGCTCTACTCGATGCATGTGCACAACATCCCTAAGAAGGTTATGTCATCTGGAATGACCTCCTCATCTCCAGAGCTTCTTCAGGGTGGGTGGGGTCACCGGCGGCAGGTCTGAGCTCACTTGTCATAGCATAACCTCAGTGAGGCATTTAATCGAAGTCATGGAGAGGTAGTGCAGCAGGGCAGTCTGGAGGCCGAATTCCCGACCCGAAAAAGGAGGAGTGGAACTCTTCCCTTGCGTTGTTCCCTCACTCTTCTTCGAGTGAGAACGCAGACCCCAACCCATTGGAATTGGAACTGGGAAAGCTATGGACACTCATGCAGCATTCGACTTCTAAGAGAGAGAGAGTCCCATTTTCTCTCTCTAAGCCTACAAAGAGACGCAGGCGAGGATCCTTTTTTCTCTCGTACCTTCACAGTCAAATTCCTCTCTCTCCATCCCTTTCCTTCTCTCTTTCCTTAATCCCTCCTCCTTTTCTCCCTCTAAGCGTGTGTGATTTTTATCACTCAATGCATCAAAAACTGCATAATTTTGATCAAGACTTTCTTACATGATCAAATAAACATCTTAACAACAAAATATCCAAACATGATCCATCTCAAGTGATCTAAAATGAAAAAGAAAATTAGGATTTCCAGCTTTAAAAATAATTATTTGAATCGTCCATTTTGCTTTAAAAATAAGTGTTCTTAGATCCGTAAGATCTGTACTATTCTTTTAGTTTCAAATTTTAATTTCAGTATTGAAAATTGATTTTTAAGCCATTATAGAGATTTTCGTCGCCTACAGTACTTTCCTAACAAGGATTTGATGTGAGGCTATATTTTTTATTTTTTTTGACAAGAGTTAAGAAATTTATTGATTATCTAAACAAATTACAACATATGAACATCATTTGTAACGATCGAGAGAGTCAGCCCACGAATTTGCATCCTTGAAAACATGCTGAAATAAAACTGCTAGCTCTCATGTCAAATCCAAGATCTCGCACCACATCAACCTCATAGTCCACTACACCTTATGCTTATGTGTACACCAGTTAATTATATTCATGGAATCACCCTATGCTACATAGCAATTACCGATATTTTTCTCTCTAAAGATTTTCAAATCGCGTAGCAAAGCTGCCATTTTTGCAAAGTTTGCTATAGCTTGGTCTATAGGTCCTAGAAATCCAAGAATAACTCTTCCAACATAATCTCTAATCACTCCTCCAATACCAGCATTATCCGGATTACCAAATGAACTTCCATCAAAGTTCAGCTTAAAAGATCCCTCAACAGGAGAAGACCATCTACCCACTGATCTACGGCTAAGTGTTCTTAGATGTATAAGATTATGATGTTGCGCATAACATCCACGTGTGTGATACCTTGAAAATCTCTAATTACGTTTAGCCATCTCCATATAGAAAGGGAAACGTTGTTGAGAATCCTCTCAAAGGGCAAAGAAATCCCTTAAAAAACTCTTCTATTCCGTTCCTTCTGTGTTTCCCATAACACAGCCCCTCTGATAACTTTCCAAATAACAATGCCCACATTAGATAAACTGGGAAAGCTAAAATTAGAGACAATACCCAAAACACCTAATGGGAGAGGCAAACTAAATCCAAACAGAAAACCACACCAAAGTGCAAAGCTAAGAGGATAATGAACAAAAAGATAGGCATTTGACTCCTCGTCTAACTTGCATAATAAGCAAATATTTGGTAATATTTTGCCTCACTTAATGAGATTATCAACTGTGAGCACCTTATCTTGTACTACCAACCATATAAAAACATACACCTTATGTGGAATAAGCCATTTCCATATCTGAGGCAGCATCCATCTCCACCATCATGAAATAAAAGAGAGCACATAGATTTAACTGTAAATACTCCATCGCTTTCTAAATCCCGAATTATCTCTTCTTTCATCTCCCATGATAGGTACAATTCTTCAAGCTCCCATAATAATGCTGCATAATATGAGACAACTCTATCGTCCATTTTATTGTGTGGGAAACATAAATTCCACACCAATTTATTATTCAATATGGAATAGACCTCACTCACCCTTGCCTCCAGATTCACTACCTTCTCAAAAAGCTCAAGGCAAGCTAGCTTTCAAGAAACTTCTCCAACCCATATGTGTTGCCAGAACGAGACTTTTGTTCCCATACCAACTCCCCATCGAATGTTTCGGGGATATCAAATTTTTGCATAAAAAGATATCTTTCCAGAAATTAGATCTCTTCAAACTTCCCCTATCCCCACCAATCCAAAAACCATACTGATCCACCCCATAGTTAGTGCCAAGTATTTGATACCACAGGTGATCCTTAGAAATTAGACTTCGCTACCACAACTTAAACAGCAAAGCATCATTCATAATCTGAAGTTATCTAATCCCCAATCTACCTTCTATCTTAGGAGTGCATACTCTATCTCATCTCAGTAAATGATATTTATTTCCACCTTCAAAAGATCCCCACATAAAATTGTACATAATCTCTTCTAACTTTCATGTCACACTTCTAGGCATTTTCAGCAAAGACATCAAATATACCGGAAGATTGGCCACTCAAGAGAATCACCCTCCCACCCCTAGACAAGTACTTCGGTTTCTATAAGTCCAATTTGGTTTGAACCCTTTGCAACACCTTATCCCATACCAAATTGGGTAGCCTAGAAGCAGATAAAGGTAAACCTAAATAGGGGATGAGGAAGACATCAGTTTTGCACCCCAAACTTTCAACCAATTCTCTCACCAATTAATCATCGCAATGTATCCCAATTTACAAAGTTTTTTCCATTTTCACTTTCAACCTCATAGCTACTTCACAACAATTAAAAAATGTATCAACAGTATTAACTTGGTCCAAAGTAGCTCCACAAAAGATTAGTGTGTCGTCTGCACATTGAAGGTGTGAAACACAAGGACCATTGTTTGCCACTCTGAATCATTAAAACAACCAGCACTTTCAATATTTCTAAGCATTAGGCTAAAACATTACGCATAAATGGAAAACAAAAATTGTGAAAGTAGATCACCCTGTCTTAGACGTCTAGTAGCTCGAAAGTAGCCTTTAGGACTCCCAATAATCAAAACTGAAAAATGGGCTGAAAAGATACACCCGTATATCCAGTTTCTCTACTTTGCACCAAAGCCCATGCTACTCATAATTTCAAATGGGAGTTGTACAGTAATGGAGAAGTTCTTTCTTCCTCCCCTAACTTCCTATTATCAAACATGCTCTTAGAGAAGGAAAAAATAAGACGCATCTTTTTGGGAGAACTTTTGAAAAGGGGGATAGAGCGAAGATGAGTCTTTTCTCTTTATGTTTGCTTGTGGTGCAAACATGGACTCTCTGTGACCTTTTTTTTTTTTTTTCTAAGAAAGCTTTCTACACTTCCCCTTTTTTTCTAAGGAAGCTTTCTACACTTTCCCTGCAGCATATAAGATATATACTTCTCCCCTTATCCAACCGTCCAATTTACATCAAGTGAGTCACTCATCGTTTGATCTAGATCCGACATCTCAGACTATTTTATTTTTAATTTTTTCTGCAAATTGCATGAATATGAAATTTGGTACGTGTCATCTTCACAATGGGGCGCACTGAAAAACAATATTTAATTTTTTATAAAATATAATGACCAAAATACCCCTTGAAACTTCTAGGAATATTTTGGACATTTTTATTTTATTGATCATATTTTTAAAATATTTTAGTTAGTGCGAGTTTAAGAGAGGGCTGAAAGCCCCAACTTTGGTTTTAAAATAATTTGTATAAAAAATTAAAAATAAAATAGTGTAGAGATGTGACATTGTGATTGGGACTATCTCGGCCGTCCATTCAGAATCGACGGTTGGATAAGGGAAAGCATATAAGTTTTATTTTATAGGGGAAACATAGAAAGCATGCTTTTTCTTCTTGCTAATTTATTCTTAGTAGACTCTTTTCCTATCTAGAAATGTACCCGGTGATCGCAGTTGCATCCTAGACATCAACCGCCAACAGCTCAAGCCAGAGCCTGTTTCTAATATAAACTTAAGGAAAAGATTTCTATACTTCCCCTATAACATAGAAGATACATACTCCCCCCTCCATCCAGCCATTCAATTTAAATCAAGTGTGCTACTAACCGTTTGATCTAAGATCTGATACCTCATAGTATTTTATTGTTAGATTTTTTTAACAAATTGTATGAATATGAATTTGGTACATGCCATCTTCTCAATGGAGCACACCTAAAAAAATATTAAAAATAATTTTTCGATAAAATATAATGACCAAAATACCTCTTGAATCTTTCAAACGTATTTTAGTCATTTTATTTTACTGAGTTTTTTTTTTTTTTTCAACAAGTGGGAGTTTAAGAGAGGAGTGGAGGCTCAAAATTTGGTGTATGAATATTTTGTATAAAAAATAAATATAAAATAGTGTAATGACGTAACATTGTGATTAGAGCCACATCTCAACCGTTCATTCAGAGAGGATGATGGTTGGATAGGGAGAGATATGTAAATTTTATGCTGAAGGGGAAGCATACGAAGCTTGCCCTAAACTTAATATTCCCTCTTAAGAAATGAGTTAAGCCAAACTCTTTACGTTCCGTGTGGAGATTAGTGACCACGCAAGGTGCTGCATTCGCTCGGTGAAGCCTATGCCCCCAAACAAGCAGTAAATGAACTGGTTTTCTGAATGAGGAACAAGTAAAAGTTACTCAAATCCCATCCTCTTTATCGACGTGAAAACACAAAACCAAAAAGTCCTCTAGATTGGCATTAATTAGGTCCAGCTCTTCCACTTGAAATGGTTGTCGGATCACGCTAATTATTTTTTCACTTTTAAAATCTCGCACTTAAATAATAGAAATGATAAAGAATAAACTAAAATGAATAACAAAGACTTGTATTTTGCAATTGGTCAATTCAACCATTTGCTTCTTCTCCATGGTGCAACAATTGAATCCACCACTCTTGTGAATCAAAGACGCAATCCACCATTATTGTGAATCAAAGAGGCAAGGTGGGAATTGAAATTGGAGGAGGGGGAGTTGATGTTCTTCACCCTGGCCATTGCGACTCTGGCGGTGGCAGTGGCGGTGGCGTGGTCCAAGTCGAGGACGAGGAGGTCCAATCACCGCAGCAGTTGTGAGCCTCCGGGAAGCTTGGGATGGCCCATAGTCGGAGAGACATTGGCCATCCTGCATTCTGGCCGCTCAGGGAAACCCGAGTTGTTCGTACAAGAGAGTATGCTTAGACATGACCCCGATGTCTTCAAGACGCACCTTTTGGGGGAGATCATCGCCACCCTCTGTGGCCCCAATGGCAACAAGTTCCTCTTCTCGAATGAGAGCAAGGGGCTCCTCCTAACCTGCTGGCCCTCATCACTCGCCCGCCTCTTCGGGGATTCCTTCCTCACGTAGCTGGGGGAGGAGGCAATGAGAGTTCGCAAGATGGTGGTGGTCCCTTTCCTGAGGCCAAACACC